TTCCATTCAAGCGCATCCTAAAAGACTTGAGCCCTTTAATAGCTAAGATGCAAGCTCTTCGTTACTCGAATAGCATGATTAGAATAATCGTTAGAAGAGAATATTAATTATTTCCAGAGGTGTTCCTCTTGATTTCAGCCCAAATTCCCGTCAACTTATCAAGTATTCAACAAGTCACCAGTTTCTTGTGAACGAATTCGAGAAATGATAGAAACTTCCAAGTCAAGCATGCTTCCTCTCATGAGCTTAAACTCTCTGTAAGACATCAATAAGCTAATGTCAAACAAAAAGACCAATGTTATTAGAAGCCTACAAATTCAATGTTCACTCGGACTTGAAAGTGATTAATTTCAAATCTTATTCATCCTCCAATAATCTTTGAATGGGTCGACTCTAGACTGAAAGTACCACTGTACAGCTACTAATGTATCTGATCAAAATTATTGAGCTCAAGTTTTCTTTGCTTGAAAATAGCTTTTCCAACATTCACTGCCATTAATAACTCGAATCTTTTCATGAACAAATCCAAGTTTTTTTTCCAATCCAAAAATGAACAGAATTTATTGCAACACAAAATTTCGATAATTTGTCGATTTAAGCTTAGTCTACTTAGGTTATCAAAGAGAAATTTTGAAATTTAAATAACAAGATGAAAACGGCTTTAAAACAGCGACAACTTTACCTGTTTCATTGTGAAGCAACAAAAAGCTTACAATGTAAATTTTGATAATACAAATGAATGGAAGCAAAGTTTCCAAACAAGAATGAAAAAAAACCAAGTAAAACCAAATGTAATATTTTGTTGTGAATGTAAACCTGTAACCATTACAAGCAGTACTTTACAAGGCTTTGATTGTCTTGGTTAGTAAATAAAACAGGAAAAAAAAGTTTGTTGTTTAAAGTCGTTACTTTGGTTATTTGTGTTGAGTTGGAATAAAAAATGATGGCAAAAGAAGCAAAAAAATGTAAATAAAAGTTTGAGCAAAACATTGCAAATTGAAATTGAAATAAAAGTTGAATCATTTTCTCGTTTAACCAGACTTGAAAGTATCATTACGTAAATTGAATCAACAATCAACAGATTTTTGTTGTTGACCTTTTACTAAATGCACAAGTGCGTAATGAGATAAAAAAGGTAATTACGTCAAACAGGCAAATCAACGAGAAGAAAAAACGACGGAAAATGAAAAGTTGAATTCAAGCTTAAAGGGTGTTGTGATTACACTTGATTATCAAGGTAAGATTAGATTTTACCAGCAAATTATCATGATGCACCTGATTGGGATTGTTTGGGATCAATATTGATCATTCAATGGGTAAAGATATGGTTCATTTCATTCCCTCAGGGATTTCACTTAATCTACTTGATGTATTGATTAACTTGATGAAGTCACAAAAACGCCTTTCATCAACTTATCATTGGGTGAAAAGAGTTGTAAAATGATGCAAATAGTCTATTTACTAATCATGATTTATACGAAAAAAAAGAAATAAATTTTTCTACAAAATTGCAAATGTATTCATTTATTGAAGGCTTGATTAATGATTAGATGTTGGTAACAAAGTTAAGGTGAAAGGTGAATGTGTAGGTGAACATGAAACTCGATCAGTTATGAAATGTTTTACTTTAAGATAAGATTTTTCAAATGATGAAAGACTTTGGTTTGCAATTAAAGATAAATTTTATCAATAAGTTATCAGTTTACAATTATCATTAAATTGTTTAAATGATGAACAGAGATTGAAATATTTCGTCATTCGATAAGTGATTCCAATTGAATCAGAAGGAACCTTCCAATGACGACAGAAAATATTAGGTTCAAAGGAACTCTCACTATCTCAATTTTCACCGAATTTCATTGAAATTCATGATAGAAAATTTCTTCATTTCCTTTCAAATCGAACCTTTTAATAGAATCAAATTGTTCACAAAAAAAGTTCGATCAAAATTTTTTAATGATAAATATTGAGTGTGATTTTCACCTCGACTGATAATTTAATCAAGATTTTCTGAGTCTTGAAATTCTGTTCAGAACTTTACTATTTGGTTCAATCTCTAGTTTATCCTTGTTTAGTCAATTTTTTATCGTTTCAAAGCTTATAACAAATGGTTTTTGGTTTTGTTTTTTTCACCCAAAACTCTATTAGTTTAATCATTGGGAGAGAAAAGGTTTAATGAATATTCAATGGATTGAGAAAAGAATAGAAATTTGAATATTTTTTTCTAATCTTTTCTTGCTTTTATCTTGAGCTAAGAATATGATAGACTTCTGGGTTGAAATGAGTTTGGCCAGAAAAAAAGTAAACTGAGAATCAAATCAATCAATCATGCTTTCCATCATGTTCGAGCAAATGATTTGTAATCAAGAATAGTTCATTAATTATCGTAAAACTATCATTATACACATTTTCTTGCATCAATCACAAATTGACACGAGAGATTAGAGCGGAAAAATTGACTCAATTGTAATGATAATTAATTTAAATGAAAGGTCTCAAGACATTTTAGGTAAATTGGTATCAAATAGACTTACCATCAAAGCTTGAACAATTTCATCTTCTTCTTGGCTTTTCTTTCGTTGACTCTCGGATTCTGTTCAACAGCATTATCATTATTTATAAATTTCATGATCAAGTCCATTTCAGGGTCATTGGCCATGAAAAAGGTGAAAGAGGAAAGAAAATTTTGGGTTAATTTTCAGGTAAATGCACCAATTTTTGGGTTTTATTTACATTGAAATGTAAAACAAATGAGATTGAAAACATATTTCAGGTTCAAGTTCATTGAAATTTTTCAATTTCTCAAAAAAAGTCAAGAATGAAAAATTGAAAATTTATTCTTTTCTCAAGAAAATTCGAAAATTTGACCGTCCTTTTATCTTGCTTTTCAGCAGGAAAATTATCAGTTCATTGAATATTCTAAATGAATAATCCATCTAAAAAAATTCAACTTTCAATTTGAAATGTAAAGAAATCATTTTGTCAAAATTGATGAATTTCAACATTGAATTTTAAAATTATCTTTCGACTAATCTTTATAAAGAAATTTGTAAAATTTGAAAGTCAAGGTAAGGGTCAAGTTGAATTGGAATAAGATGAAGCTTACCGAATATGAAATCATCGTAATCAAGAACTGGACTTGTTGGTGATACAGAAGGCATTATTGTATTCTCGTTCCCTGTTGTAACCTCACTGGGAGTTAAAACTAACGGTATGCTACTTGAATCATCATCTAGAACTGGTTCAACAATTATGCTGACCGAGTGAAACAGTTGAGGCTTTTTACGTAAATCATTTTCACAGGTTGATTCATTCATGGTTGGTGTGGTTGGGGTTGATGTTGTGGTTGTTGGTGTGGCAATATTTTTATTTGCAGAATTTTTGATTGTAAAACTTGACGTGGTTGTTGTTGTTGTTGTTGTTGCCTTTGATGTCAGTTCCATTGTTTATCAAGTCAAGCACAAAAGTGAAAATAAAGAGTGGAAATGTTGGTGAAAAAAAACCACAAAAAACAGAATGAAAAGGAAACCAAAAGAGAGGTGAAAACTTTGACGTCAGTGAGGAAACACAATCAGTTGAATAGTTAATCCTTTTTTTGTAGCTGTTTAAATGGCAAGTTGGTGATGATATTAAAATGTGTAAAGTTGATCAATGGGAGAAATCATTTCATTGTTGGGTTCATTGGGTTTTGGGTTACTGTGAGTTGGGTAAAATGTGAGACAGTTTTCAAGACGATTGTTTGACAGTTGATGAAGGGTCATACAATTAATTTCAATGACATGGATGAGTACTTTAAAGCGTTGATTAGGTTTAAAAAAAGATTTAAGAGGAAGAAGAAAAAATTAACCAAATTAGAGAGAAACGAATCTATGATTGATGGAAGAATTGAGTTGACCAGTTTTAACATTTACCAGTTAACTTGCACTTGGACAGTTGATCAATTAAAAACACTGGCAAAAAAAGGTTGATGGTTTAATTGAATAGACTAGATTAATTGAGAAGACGATTAAATGATGATAAATGATGGAGTTAAAGTTGATTAACGAGGGAGAATAAAAATGGACAAGAGAGATTTCTCATTAGATCTCAATTTTACCTGCGCCAATGAAATCAAGAGAATGATTTTAACTCTGGATTTTCCTTGACTTTTTTAATGTTACTTTGGATCCAATCCAATCCAACCCGATATCTATCTACATATCCCTATCAAGGTAACACAGCGCCATCTATGGGTTAGCAAATAGACTATTAAGAACATGCTATTTTTAGAAATGACAATTTATCAGGTTTTCTGTTCAGAGAATTTTCAAAGAATTTCATTTTGATTCACTCTTGAGTCATTTTTTAAAAAATTACAAACAAAAATTAGCATCGCGATTAAATGCTTTATTCAGGAGCTTGTACGGAACTGCAGAAACATCTAAATGAACTCAAAAAAAGTGAACCTTCAAATGATGTTGACAGAAATTCCTTTTAACTTGATTCTGAATTTCATGATTATTGCCATTGATTTTCAATAATTAAACTAACAAATTGAACATGAAATCGAGCATAACCATTGATGATGGCACCATGAACCATTGGAAAGAAAAAAAAAATTGTGAAAAATGTGTATCAAAATGTATCGCAAACTTTTAGAGCATTCCATGTTATCTGATGATCGAAAACAAAATTGAAAACGAAAATGCTCATTTTTTCTATCGACTAATATAATAATGAAATTTCTTGAAGTAATCAAAAATCACTCTTCGAATGATGATGAAATTCGTTGGTTCATTTAACATTATTTGCATCTGTATCATTCATCATAATGAAGTCTTTGAACAGTCAGATCTGAATTTCGTCTGATTCAATCGAAGCTGATTCTTTGATAGCTGAGTTCTTGAATTGATCTTGTTTTGCATTGAAATCTGCAGAAGTGAAAAACTTGCTGAAATGCCGATTCTTTTGAACTGATCAGCGAACTTTTGTGAATAAAGATTAAAATGAAAACTCGTAGATTAGGCAATTAGAATTTTATCTTTTTCTTCTTTTTTTTCAATTAATTATTACATTTTTGAGGCATTTTCAGGTGAACAATTGTATTTCAACATTTAGTTTTGTTTTATCATTTCTAGGGAAGAAAAGAAAACCAATGGAAAAAAGAAAAAGTGAAAAGTTTCATTTGTCAAACCAATATCCAGTGTAATTACAATCATGAACATTTGACAAGCTGAAAGATTAATCTGGCACATTGAACCCAAAAAAGTTGTGAACATTATTTGAAACTTAGCTGATTGGCTGTGACAATTTGAATGCAAAAAAGTGATGAAAAAAAGTGTCTCAAAATTAACTTATCATCAAAGGATAAAATAATTGATACAAAAAAGGTGATGCATTTCACAGTCTTGGTTGATTTGATGAATGAAATGAAAAATAATTAAAAATAAAATTCCTAATTTCGATTGTAATTGCAATTGATTTTGGATTGAAAGAGAAGAGAGAAGAAAATGAAACGATTGGAAAATCATCTTCAGATGATTACCAATTACAATAATAAATATGATAATGATAATTGTTTCAATGTATTTTGTGTACAAATGTCAACAATTTGTTTCGTTTTGTTTTGTATAATATTAATTGTGATAATCATTTTTGGTCCAAGTTAAAGTAAATTGAGAAAGATTTCATTATTTTTCACTTCTCACTATTGGCTAATCATTTTCATCATGATTAACGATTTCAAGTTTTTTGATACAAATTGTAAAATCTCATCTCATTTGGAAATAATTGTGATTAACTTTTTAATTAATGAACCTTGATTGAGCAGGAAGAAGAAGAGAAAAGTAAAGAAAAGCGAATTTTCTTTTTTTGTCAAAATTGAAATAAAAACACTTTTCTGAAACAATTTTTGGTTCGCTTTGCGTTGGTCAAACAAATTTGCCCCTTTCATCTCATTGAGAGACGATTGAACAATAACAATAATGTCGATGGCAACAATGGTAATCTAAATAGTTGTCGTCTTTGAGTAGGAAAAGGCCAAAAAGAACAATTTTTTTCTTCGAAATTTTGAGTTAAAAGAGCATTTCGTTTTTTTTTCTTTTGCTTGTTTCGAGTATCAAGTTTTTCAATTGGTCAATGAGCTATGGACTGTGGAGGGGTCAAAGGTCGTCTTTTGATTCTTTTGATTTGCTTGCTTTAAAGATGACGGTTGTTGGTAAAGCTCCGCTTGATGATGATGTTGAGCTTGGGCTTGACTGGCTTCGTGGTGAGCTTGAAGGTAAAAGGTTGCCTGAGGTTGAGGGTTGCATTAAGGTTGGCTGAACCAGAGGTGTTGGTGAAGGACTTAGTGATACCGGGCTTGAGGGTGGATTGGGTGAGAGTGATGAGGGAAACAGGGGTGAGACTGAGGGTGATATCGGTACAACTGTTGGTGGATATGGTGCTTGACGGTGTCGACGATGGGATACATGATGGTAGTGGTGTGGATGGTGATATCTGTAGGTTGAGGTTGAGCTTGAGGTTGGCATTGGACTTGATGTGGTTCCAGGCGAAGGTAAAGCCTTGGAGTCAACCGATGAAGTTGATCCCATTGAGGTTGCACTTTTGATCAACGAGTCTGTATCTTTGTGGATCACTGTTGACGTACTTATATCACAATCAGATTCACCATCTTTTTCAATGGACTCTTTACTCAATCTCAAACTACTGCTTCTGTACTCTTTGTTATTATTATTGTCATAATTTTTATTATTAGCATTATTATTGTTGCTTGTATTATTGTTATTGGAATTTATTGTCCTATTATTTATATTGGCTTCACTGTTGTCCATTCCAGTTGAGGGAAGATACATATTGACTCTTGATGATGATGATGATGATGAAGGTATTGATGATGTTACTCTGACCGTTCCTTGACCTGTTGGCTGGTCAGTTGATGAAAATTGACTGGTAGATGTTGTTGGCTTTTGCTGTTGATGATATTGGCTTGGCTGGTGAAAGGGTTGATAATGGTAACTTGATTCTTGTCCTGGAATTGGCGAGGCTTCTCTAATTGATTCAAATGTTCCTGAAGGCAATTGACCATATTCCGAGTCAGATAAAGATGCTACCTCTGAGGTAACCAGAGTACATGGTTCATGTGGAACATCTGGCTCAGTTGAATCTATGGAGGACATTTGAGTGGAAATTGAATCTCTATCGTAATTTGAATCGCGACGGCTCAAAAGAAGGTAAGTTGTCGAAGAGGAAGATGAAGGTGATATCGGGGGTTCACCTCCTTCAGGTCCAATGATGATTGAAGGAGTGGTCGAAGAAGTGGAAGGATGAATGATGCAGCCCAGTGAAGATTCAGATTTAATTGTACGCCTAGGGTAGACTTGATCAAAGGCTGATGGGGAAGAGGTTGAGGTTATAACAGAAGAGACAAGACCTCGAGACCAATGGGAACCAGTGAGACCACTTGATGTACCCTCGGTACCAGTTGATCCTGATCGGTGTGAAGAGGCTGGTGTACAGGTATCCAGGGAATGACGAAGAGTGACCCGTTTCTTGACAAACCTTTGAGAAAGGTCAGAGTTGCCTCGGGTCATTGGACGGTCAAAATTTTTGGAAACTGGAGTATTGGGTTCAGAGGATTGTTTGTCCACCAGAATGGGCTTAGGACGGGTTACAAAAGTGATTGGAGCACCGGTAGGATGAGAGTAAATGGTACCACCGGCAGGTCCACCAGGATAAGGTGAAAATGTGTACGGACCCGAGGCTGAGGAGAGTAGGCTTGTTGGATGGGGCAAGGGCGAGGCTCCAGGTGGAGTTGAGAGTCCAATGAGTGGACTTGGTGATGCAGTTGCACCCATTAGACAAGGTGGTGTTGGTGAGGTAATTTCTTGAGCACAATGTGAATAGTGTTGTTGTTGTTGTTGCTGTTGTTGTTGAGTATAATTGGTTGTGGGTGGTTGTGGATAGGAGTTTTGATTGATTGTTAAAGATGATGAACTTGGTGGCCCCGTTGATCGGTTATTGATTAAGATTGTTGAAAGAGCTTGAAAGTTACATCGATCTTCCAAGTACATTTCCAATAGTTGATCAACTTTATTCTCAACGTCTTCAACCTGGAAAATTCAGCAGCGAAAGCAGAAAAAAAACAAGAAATGAAAAAAAGAGCAATAAATATCATTCCATCGTTATATTCTTGAATCTCAGACTCACGTCGAGTCTCACATCATGAGTTTCAATGGAAAGCAACATTTAATTCTTTATCTACTCATTCACCCTTTAATCGCTCTTTTCATCCTTTAATTTAATTTCACTGTAAACTGCTCAAACTCTGCATGACATTTTCACCAATTTTTCTTTTCTTTCCACTTTCGACAATTTCTCAGCATGAAATGAGTAATCTCTTTACTCTAACCTCTGTTTTTGACTTTCGTTTAAAGTAAAAATTTATCAATAAAACTGTGCTTAAAAATGCCATTTCGCACCTAAAATGTTTTCAACAGTTGCTTCTGTTCAACTCAATCTGAAAACTTACCGTTCGCTCAACTTTAACAATCCTTGAAGCTAAACTCATTTTAGATTCATAGGCATCAATGGCTTTGGAACCAACTTTACCCAAAATGACGTCCAACCTAAATTGACAAATTGCAAGTAATGGAAGAAGAAGAAAGAAAAGAGAAGAAAAAAAATCTGATTGGCTTTTGCAAACAAACGGTAAGAAAACAGGGAAAATAAGAGTAAACTTTGAATAGCGAAATGAATAAATAATGTTTACTGATGAGGTTAAAATTGATGTTTCATAATGAGACCAGGAAAAGGATAAAATAAACTGCAAGATTGATGATGATGATGATAATGTCTGTAATTGACGTGAAGCTTTACATGAGAAACCAACAACTACTTATGGTAACAAGAGGAGCACAAAAAAGGGTTACTTGAAAATGTAATGTCATGCAATTGATGAAGAATAAAGAGATTTCTTCTTTTCACTATTTTCTCTCTTCTTTTCATTGTAACAGGTTAACTTGTTTGGCGATCATTGATACTGGTAATTGGTCAAGAAAATTCATTCTCCTGATAATCTCGTTGCCAATCGATTCGATCGCTTTTTATTCTTTTGTCTTCTTGTTCGCAATCAAGAACAAGTTCATTCACATGAATTCTGTCGAGATAAACTGATGAAATGATAATGAACTGAGACAAGTGAAGAAGTAAAAGTGTTTAAAGGTTCGACTTCGTCTTCCTTTTGCTGTCCATGATGAACCAAATTGAAATGACATAAGAATGAAAAGTTTCTTCTTCTTCGTCTTCTTATTCTTCCCTAACTATTTACTCTTCATTTGTTGTAATGTTAATCATTCTGACATTATCGTTGACATTGAATTTTGAAATTTCTTCTTCTTTCCTTTCATTTTTATTCCGCCATTTGGAACCCATTTCTGATTGTTGTAAAAAGATTTCAGACAAAATCTCATTGATAAGGCTTTTCATTTATTTGCTAAATTATCGTCATTTATGATTGAATTGACGAGCTTTAATGGTTAAAGGAAGTTGATGAATGAAATGAAAGTCACCAAAATTGACATGAGAATGAAATATTGAGTGACAATTAAAACTAACAATAATGAGAAATGAAACATTTCACGATATAAATTGTGATTGAATTGACAGTAGACCTTTGAGTTGATGCCATGAATAGGGAAAAATGAGATTGACTAACCAGACGCATTAATGCAAGTGTAAACTTTGAAAATTGAGGCAATCATAAAGATTGGTGAGCAACTTTAATGATGAAAATTTTGATGGAAAAAATTGATTCTCATTAAGCTAAAAAAACTGTTGAAATTTTGACAAATTTTTGTGTGAAAAGGTGAAGAACCTAAATCAATTTGGGGAGGAAAGTGACACATTCAATGAATGTCAATTCACATTGGAAATGTTTCATTTGAAATGATCTTTGTCAGTCTAACAGAAAAACAATTCACTTTGATGGGAAATCACACAAAGCGACACAATTCATGTACCATTTAATTATCATTAACACAACATGAATGCAAATTAACATTAAACTCATGGGAATCGTGATTCCATGTCCATGAAGGGAGAAAACACAGTCATAAAGTTTCATGTTTATTCTTGTTGTTAGGATTAAAAATAACTTTCAATCGCTTTTCCCATTAAACAAGTTTAACCAATACTTTTTGTAGCTTTTGCATTTGTTCAATTTGATATTCAATCAGTTCAAGACAGAATCCTAATTCATCATTCAAATATTATTCACTACAATGCTATCACGGAGTGACTATGTCAGGCTATTGCACTTAAATCGATGTTATTAGTTTGGAACTCAAAAACTGATGTAATTGCGTCTCATGTTCTGAGGCTGATCTTGTTTTGAGAAGAAAGAAAATCGAAGAGAAAATTGGGAAATTTGTTCTTACCTTGCTTGGATATTCTTTGTTCTCGCCAATAAATCAACATGACCAGCTGAGTATTGTTCAATAACATCTTTGACATCATAAGGTTTAAGAGCTTCCTTGAACTTGCGTCGAGCAACGAAATATTTGATCTTTAAAGATGCGAAAATGAGTTAATCATTAGAATGGAAATTTGAAGAAATGAGCAAAGAATTTTTTATCCACTTGCAAATGCTGGGAGTTATTTCATCAAAATCAAATCAAAATATAAATACCTTTCGAAGGGATCTTATTGCATTCTTGTGTTGCTTCGTTAAAACAGTCAACTTGGGTTCTTCTGGTTCTTCATCTGGTTATCATCGAATAGAGAAAGAGAAGAGAAAAGATGCTTTTTTGTTAAAATTTTGATCCACTTCGTTGGTTGATTGATGAGACAATTTGATGAGAAAAAAAGTTTACATTTTTTTCTTCAACATTTTGTTTTGAGTTAAATTTATATTCATGTGCAGTAATTAAGTTAAGCCGCAAACAGTTGAATTGAATAGTGATTGTGTTTTTTAAGTGATTTTGTGTGATCTCTAAGTGCGCATCAGTGAATATGTAACATTTATGTGTGTCTTCGTGTTGTAAAAGTGTTTGATTGCAGTTGATAGAGAAATTAAAGTTTATTGGAAAAACATTTCAATTCATTCCGACATACAATTCCATGTGAAACTCAACTCATTTTCGTCAAACTTGAACAAGAAAAATGTCGATTCTTTCAGCATTTCAAACGTGCCAATTCAAAGTTGCATCAAAAATGCAGATATTCATTGCAAACATTTGTCAACTGTGCAACTTTTAAGTTCGCCCAAACAAAAGACAAGAAAAGACGAAATGAAAACAATGCAAACTTGGATCGATGTGAATAGAGTTAATAGCAAAAGGAAAATAAGTTTAGTTAGAAAGGTAATTTGCTTAGACACTTCAAGAAAGGTTGACCTGAGTGTTTCCATTTTGAGCATTCAAAGACATTCAAGTGAAATCAAATTGTGGCGAAATCGGAGTAATTAAAGGAAAAAAGTTCTCAAAAGTAAACCAACAACATTCAATATGCACTCAAAATATCATTCAATGTCAAACATTCAAATTGCACAAATAAAAAGGTAAAAACCATTTCAGTTTTCATGACATTTGCTCAGGTCTTTGTTCAAGCCCTTGATTGACCAACAAATGCTTTAACTCTCAAACATCAAGTATCATTATAACTCGAGTATTTGATCAGTTGCTCAACAATACTTGACTTGAACACAATTGTGGTTGTCGATTGAAAGAGATCTTGTGCTTTGTATGTACTCTCGTTAAGCAGAAAGAGAAGCGAAAACTTGAATGGATTTTACCATTTAGCATCTAAAAGGTACACAATAAGGATATACTTTACCTAATTTAATGCTCTCTTTACGAGACCGTGAAAATATATTGGGTGCACAAAAATAGCTTGGCCTTTGGTCGGGAGATATTTCTGTTCTTGGAATGAGATTATAAATTCAAAATCACTAACGCAAACCTCGATCTTTGATCGAATTTTCTTTTCAACTTTGCATTTCCACTAAAAACTATTTCCAATGCAAGGTTTCAGGTTGAAGTGGTTTGCGTTTAGTCAAAACGCGAATAAAGTTAATAACAAAGCGAGAAATTGGAACCACAAAATGCGAATCACAAAAGTCTTTTGATTTCGTGCATATCTGAATATATTGCAATATTGCAGTATAATAAAATCAATCGCCAAGCAATTTGTTTGTAACTCTTTGAAGGTGATTTCGAGATTTGTGGTTCCATTGGTGCTAAATACTGTGCAATGTTGTGCAGAAACTTTTAGGCTTTTATTCAAATGAATTCATTTTGAAAGCTGAAAACAGCTCAAGTTTCGAGATTCATTAGTAACATGATAGCATCAATCCGAATATGCACCTACTAAATGATTATTTAGTCCCTGAATGTGCAAAATTGACGCATAATTTATATAACATTGAAGTTGTGGCATTGGTCTGCTTAATTGTGCTTTTTCTTCTGCGTTTACTTCATTCTCTGTGCATGATTTGAATTGGTGGTCGAATTAAAGCAGAGATGAAAACAGCCTCAAATTTGCAGCTTATGCTGCCTTATAAGTTTAAGTTATTCGTCTTGATATTTCCCATGTTCAGCATGAAATACTAATCATCAATATTAAACTATTCAATGCTTCAAGACTTCTAGAAAATCGGAATTGTACCTGTGACTCTGTGCATATTTACGCGAAACAGAGGTTTTGGAAGGGTTGCAGCCACATGCTGGCTCAGACATGCAACTTTCATCCAAAAGTGTGCATTGAATGGTAAAATTGTTAACGAAAATCAAATTGACAGGATAGACTGTGCAGCATAGATACATTTTGTAAACCTTGATTTTCGTTGACGAATGGATGCAATAACTCGAGCCAAAATCCAAATAACCAAAATCAATTCTTATTCAATTTAAGGATTAAAGTTAAGATTTGACATTTTGTAAAATGGTCAGTTTAATCACAACAAATGTCAACAGCATTTAACAAATTTGTCCTGTCAAAACTGTCTGATCCCAGTCTAAACATTCTAGTTGGGAAACTTTCATTTAACGATCAAGACTCGCTTTTAATCTCTTACTAGTTCCTTTGCCAAACTTTAGAGTCTGCAATCTTTTTAGTTTGTAAAATATCAAGAAAAACTTCCAGCCAAGGCTTGCATTAGAGTTGACAGAGAAGACGATGGATTTGACGGTAAGAATTGTAAAAATTGCTGGCAACTGAACCGAAAAGTCTGTCAAAACAAACCTAAACGTGATCAAAGATCAGCACATGAATTGCATTCTGATACCATTTCAATTAACCGATTAATGAAAGTTTTAATCATTGCAACAAAGCCCTGGCCAAAAAGGTTCCTCAATAAACTAACTTGCAATGAAATATGATCTCGAAATGTTTCTAAAATAACCTTTAATCAAGAAAATGTAAAATTTATTTACACTTTTCGTGCTTAGAGAGCAACCAAGAATAATGATTACTTTTTTGCTGAAGTTTCATCCATTAATAAGTTTTCAGAACCATTTCGGTTGATTGAAGTATTGCAAACTTGTAACCTTTCTAACTCTGAACACGAAAAAGATACTTTATTCAAATTGACCGATTGATACAGAGTTATTCAATTTAAACATTTGTATCCTTTAATGCATTTGAGGACAAACTTTATTCTGAATTGAGTGAAAGGTGTTACAATGAAACAGAAAGAATTGATCCATTAATTGCATTCGAAAGACTTGAATTTTTCAGCGAGAAAAAAATTCTCTCACAATTCTCAGAAGACTAAACTTGATTTTTCACAAAATCTAACCATGATTTGAGGAGAAAAAGAACTAAAATGAATTGAATAAGAAAATTGAATTGAAGAAAATGAAATAAAATCTCGAGACTGATATGAAAAGGGGTAAAAAACGATTCCTGAATAATGCAACATGAGGTTTGCCAAAGGATCCAAATCAAAATTCATTTTAAAGTTGATCAAATTTTCCTTCTGAGTTTCAATGAAAGATGGACAGGTAAGGCAACAAAGTATCAAAGGTTAAGACTGATAGAATGACGAAATGGATCAAGTAAAAGTTTCAATGAAATTGAAACTCTTTGCCAAATTTGAGGTTAGGCGTAAAAAGGTAAATGATTGAAAGGATGAAACATCGATTGAACCAAAAATAATTTGCAATGAAAGTCGATGTAAAGAGTTTGAAAACAATGGAAAAAGGTCGAATGCAAGTTTTCTCGTTGAAGGATAACTGTCGCCACAAAGAAAGTAACAATTTGATTGATTCTTGGAAAAAGAGAAAAGTCTTTTTTTAGTTTATCCTCGTGAAAAAGAAACAATTTCAACTTGTAATGTTCAGCTTATCATGTTGCTTCTCATCTTTAGCACTCTGTTCATGTTTGCTGATAATCTTTCGTTTCCTTTCTTTTGATGAATCCATCATCACCAACAATTTACGCTCTGTTTGCTGTTTTTTCCTCTTCATTCTTTACCATTTGTTATAAAGATGATTGCGGGTTAAAAGGTTAGACAGATTGTTACATGATACTGGACATTGAATCCTGCAACTTGACCGAAATAAACTAAAACTTTTAGGTAAATTTAGCTTCTTGTAGTTATGAAATTGTTCAACATTTCAAGTGTCCACTGTTTCCAAGACAAAACTGGGACAAGAATAAATCATAAAACTATTTGTCAACCTGATCATTTTCACCATCATAACGAAGCGATGTCTTTTAATTTATGGCAATCAATTAGTAAAGTCAACTTGAACAAATCCAAAGAGCTTTAAACTGTTCAAAGAGACAATTTGAGTTTCAACGATTGAATCGTAAAATAACTTAGAACGGAAAGAATGTAAAATCTATTTACTTATTAAGAACTCGAATTACTTCTCAACTTGAACTCGATTTGATTTCAACCTACATCGAAATGAATATTGAAGTTTGTCTCCACGCTCTTTTTCCTTACCTTTTGTTATTTTAACATTAGTTTCAAATTTCATTAGTTATTTTGTTTCGTTCACTTTCGAGTTTCATTATTAATCAACTTGATCGTTTGATCAATATTCACCTTCTTTGTTGTGCTCATCAAAATTGATTAATGCACCTTTACCATGCTTACACATTAATTAGTAATTAAAGAAACATTTGAAAAGATGTTGATCGATCAGTTGTAAGTGGAACGAAAACAAACAAAAGTAAACTTCTTTTCACAGCGAATGTATTTTACTTTTCTTTTGTACTTGTCATGCAATTTTCAGTTGTCAAAATTCAGTGTCAAGTGAGTGAAACAAAACTGAAAAGACTAACAATTGGTGCAGACAAAAGTGAACAGCAAAAATGTTGGAAACGTGAGTGTCGAGTGTTGTTCTCGGTGAATTGTCGTGAAAAAGGAAATAGAATTGTTCATTACTCAAATTGTTGACGAAGCAAAACAAGACAATAATTCTAAATATTGAAGGCAACTTTTATTTCCATGTGCAACTTACTACTAATACTTATTACAATAAGTAACAGATAATCGTTCAAAGTGTATTAATGACTACTACAATATGAAGCACTCTATTATTTAGCATCTAATATAAACTATTTCTAAGTGGAAAAATATGATTAGGAAAACAATCTTATTATATTATTAGAAGGTAAATGTTGCCCAAACCTGAGGCATCGTAGAAATGAGGTTGAAAAGTGGGTGAAAGAGCAAGTAATGGTGGATGATTACAATCACGCTGGAGCATGTGACACAATACCAATGGTACTGATCCATCGTCCACGTCTGTAAGATAATCTCATGTTTAAATATGTATCAATGTTGAATGGCGAAGATCATTGGAAAAATATTGACTCAATAAGAGTTTGGATTGACTTTGCAGAGCGCCTTTCAATGGATTAGTGGAAATACACAAATCATCCAGAAACAGAGTGAAGTAACTTTGAGTTTCATAATTGCATCTTTCAAAGTTTTAATAGTTCTAAAGTTCTTAGTACTATTCTTCGGAATTTAGCTGCTGTATTTGAGATTCCAAAGTACTTTTGTAATTGTTTTAAGAACAATTCTAATGGCATTTAACTTATGCTATTCAGATATTGAGACATTCATAATGATTGAAGCTATGAAAGTTTTCCAAATAATTGTTAATCGAGAAAATCATTTTCCATTTTGCATTTTAATGCTTTGTATCAAATCGTTGGAGTCAAACGAAAGAAACTTTTATAACATCGAATTCTTGATTTTAGAACGATCACTATTGATTGGAGAGCTAGTTTGCGGAAGACTTTTCTGTGTCAATTAAAGCGTTAGTCCTCGAGTGAGGAACGAAGATGTTTTCAGCTTGACGAGTTGATTGAATCGAGATTGAGTATTTTGAGTTTATTGAAATAAAAGCTAAAATAGAAGCTAAAGTTACATGATATCATTTGTTTTGTTGAAGGTATTTTCATCCAATTATCGTTAAAATCTGTTTCTAAATCGCATGCTGAATTTGATACAAAATTGAATTAGTTGAAAGGTGAAAGAATGAAAGAATTGGTTTGAATGAATGAATAATAGAAGTAAATATGCTTCAATTACATGCTGTCGATTAGACTTGAGAAGAATGTTGTAGAATTTGAAAAGAAACTCGATTAAGGCTATCAAATGAATCTAGTTTGAAAGTTCATGAAAGACTTGCAGAATAACGAAATGAAGAGAGACTCGAATCTATCAAATTAAAACTTGTAATACATTGAATCACTTTTATCTGAACCAATCTAAATGAGAGTGCATTTGCTTTACTTGAAACATGGAAATTTTCATCTTTACTCCAAACTGGACATTATTCATTTTCTCCATGAAATTTACATCATGACCTTGCCTAGTTTTACATGCTTTTTTTAGTGATTCTGTTTTTCTACTCTTCCATCTGAACATGATTCAATATTGTTCCTTGTAATGAGCTTTGTTCCAGTTAATATAATTTATGGAGAAAAGCGCAAAGAGTAAAATGAAAAGGGAAAAGTGAAAAGAAAACAATTGACATTATTAAGGATGAATGCTTGAACTGTAAAAGTCATGATAATAAAAGTAATTGATAAACAAATGATAATGGACAGAAAAGCACTAAAACTTATGAGCAAGTGTCCAGGTTATGGTCAATTTGAGGGATTCACTTATCAGTCTATTGCTTTGCACCATTTCCTTTGCTCTCTTCATTCACCAAACCATAACCAAAGGAAAGGAAACAAAAATAAACTCAATTCCAACTGATATACTTTACTCTCTGGATGGAACAAGAAAAGTTAACTCGATTCCGCCCGAACCTTAAAAATGATGCAAAGACTAGGTGTGGCTCATGAAATGATATTAACAATCAACTCCCAGATAAATATAAATATCGAGATATTAACGTGATAAGTGGGAAAATATTTGCTCTTCTCTTGACTCTTGCAACAAGCGATGAAAATAAATGTCTTTTAACGACAAAAAATTATCGAGTATTTGACTATTACGAGTTTGATTCATTACAAGATTTGGTTGCAAATTGACTAACTTGGAACTTCTTTTTCTGTGGCAAAGAAAAAAATTTCAAATTCATTTTTCCTCTTTGCTATTCAATAATTGAGTTTCCAATTTTCTTTGTTTCATCTTTTTGATTCACATTTTTATTTATCCAACTTGATCCTTTAATCAATTGCTTCAGTGAAAAGCTTAAGACTGAATTTTTATCAATTTTCATATTTACTTTTACTTTTTCTCTTTATTTTGTTTAAGTCTCTTTTCCATCGCTCTTTGTCTCTTGACATTTCAAAGTTTGCTTCATTTTGTTCATTCTAACTGGTTTATTAACGATGAATAAACGATGTTCAAACAAAGTCAACTTTGAATGAAGCATTCATGTGCTAAAGTAGCAAAATAATCGTTCTATGATTGATAAAAAGAATGATTTGAATGAATGAAAATTTGCTTTTTCGTGAGTTTAACGATCGATTTAACTCGTTAGTTTCAACATTTTTTGGCGATTTGTTGAGATAATAAGAAGAACCTATTCATGGTCCATTCCGCGTCCATTGTTATTGATTTTGAGGTAAGAAAAAGTTTGTTTAAATCCTAATGAGCGCAATAATGATTCAATTTCAATCTCGTCTAGCACATATATTTTGGGCGTATTTCGGTTTGTCATTGACTTACCTAAAGAGTCAAGGTTCCTTAAGAATGAATTTCTAGACGAAGGTCCTAACCGTAAGAAGAAGAAAAGAAAAGTAAGAAAATGGCAAAAATGCCGAAAGGGAAAGAAATGTGTTAAAGTGGAAATAATTTTCAAATTAAACTTAATCATTAGTGTTAACTATGTTAATAAATTGCAAGCAAGTTAGAGCAAAGCCCATGTTTATGTCGACTTTCAAACGAGACGCTTTTGCAAAAAGTTCAACTCAGATCTTGAGAATAACGGAGTTTCCATACATCATTCGTAGAAATATTTTTCTACTAATTTTCCAATTCGAATGCAAAATAATCTGGAATCTTTTCTAGTCTAATCCTTTTTTAATCGATGCAGATTTTGAATAATATTCAAGGCAAAATTCGGTTCCACGTTTTCATATCGTTACAGCAAAGAGTAAAATCTAAACTCTGTTCTGAAAGTTGGGTTTTATTTTGTTACCGTTTCGATTACAAATGAGTTAAAACTTAATGAACTTTTCTGCTCTATCATTCGATTCATCATTTTATTATTTACTTGAACACTTGAAATGGATCGATTCATTTGCTTGAAAAATATTAATGACAAGTTGATTTTTACGAATTTGAACAAAAAAAGAAGAGTTTCAAGAGTTTATTCATTTCCATATGAATGTAACCAATTCTTCAAATGTTCATTGTTCAAGTGTCAATTCACATTGAATTACAAGCTAACTATTCATTTTTATTCTGATCTATTTAGAAGTTTCATTGGATTACAGTTGGTTAATGCGCATTTCAATATCAAAATAGCATTTCTAAACTTTTCTCAACACTTTGACGGAATCAAAATCAACTGAGAATCTCAACTTTCATCATGTAAAGATAATAATGAATTACAATTTAAATTTTTCATACAATCCAGGGCTACAGTCTATTACAGCTTGAATCAATTACTCATCATCACGTAAGCTCATTGAATATTATTCACCTGCAAGTGTATTTCATTTCAAGATTTCGTGTAACCTTGTTTTTCGCTATCTTATTGTTGACAAGAGTTTACTGACTCGCAATAAACTTTACTGTTTACCTGAACTCAAATCTGAGGCAAGAAAATTGAAAAAAGATAAAAAAAGGAAAACAAGAATTTGCTGGAAAAATGTTCTCAACAAGAGTGAGAAAATGAAACTTTATTTCCATGCAACAAGTTTATTGAAGAAATCTTAATGAAGAAAAAAAACGAATCGATAAATTATAATCAACAACTTGCACACTTTTATTATCAAGTTGAACAAGCATTTCATGTAATGAACAGAATAAAATGCAATAAATGTTTCTTCGACAAAAAAAACTGTTTTCTCATGAATAGTTCCAAGTTATTTACTAAGATTTAACCAGTAATATTGAGACTGAAAATGTTATCAAAAGTTCACTTGGAATTCACTCCCAGTCAAGAATGTCAAAGGTATGCAGTTTTGGGCATTGAATGAACATTTGATTCCAAAACTGTTGACATCGCAATTGGACACTGAGCAACAATTTCGAAGCTAAAATTTGAGTGTTACTAAACTCGATCATTTATCTACATTTCAAGGAAAATGGAAAAGTTCGTTTTCTTTCTTGTGAGCCGCTTTTAATCTTTAATCATTTACATCAATATTCATCGTTAGATTGTCTGTGAAAAGAGTTAATAAATGATGAGTTAACCTTAAAGTCCATTAATGTATGTTTATAAAGACATTAACATTTTCCTTTGAAAGAAATGCTTATGATAATAAAAGCAAACACTGAAACTGAGTAAATACTAAATATTTTTATTCCCTATTCCTATTCATCTTATCTAATGTATCCAAAAAATTATATCTTTTTCATTGTCAATGAATGTTGAAGGTGAAGAAGAAGAATAAACTCTGTTCTCAGTTCATTTATTAAATGGGATTGAAGCACAATTAAATGGAAACATTATTTACTTTCATAACAACTCAATATTTACTTTTATAATCGCCATCATTACTGTTATCCAATCACACCTGGATTCAATCGTTCGATAAAATTCAACATCAATTTAACCAATTTTTGTTTCTTTCGCACTTGACCTTTTGAAAATACTTCAAATGGATTTTGTCTCGAAATTTTGTGTCAAAACCTTCGCTTGTTTTTTTGTCGATAGTGAAAGCGTTTCAATGTTTTAGAGCTTTAAAGCAATTATTGTTTTTAGCCTGAAAATGCGCAGATTGATGGATAAATTGAAACATCTCATTGCGACTCTTCAACTTTTACCTCAACTTTGACTTTTTGTTTCATTTGTCATTCTGTGAAAATTGAAAAGTTTTGATTATCTTTTTTTCACAAGTCAAGGAACCAGTTTGGTAGAATTTTTTCAGCAGAATTTTCTTTAGAATTTTTTTTTCTTATTGGCGAATCAAGTAAAACTGAGAGATTTTACTAAAGAAAAGTGTTGTTTGCTTACCATCTGAGTTTCGTTTCGATGTGTCTGAGACTTCCTTTGTAACACTATCTTCACTAACACTTGCAGGTATTCGCGGACCATCATTGTTATTGTTGCCTTCATTTCGTTGATTGGTTGAATCAGCTAAAGGTGTGTAACGACTTCGAGTTACAGGAGAATGTACATGTGAAGGTGTAGTTGTGGGTTTGTGGCGACGTTTCGTTGAAAAGCGACTCACGAATGAAGTATTGTGTTTAAATCTGCAGAAGAAGAGGAGAAACGGAATAAATTGAGCATCGAGAAAAAAAACAGCGAGTGAGTGATAAACTAAAAGTTCTAGTTTAATAACGAAACGAAAGTATATCGAAACAAAAAGTGAAGCAGAAAATGTTCTAAATGTAATACTAAAGGGTTCAAGCAATGGATAGTCATGCATAACACACAGTAACTCTACTGGTCCAAAGTGTTCAGGTTTTTGGGTTCGATTGTCATAAATACTTACAGACTGCCACTTGAAGGTGGCAAATCCAGCTTCTCTTTACGCCTCAAAGTAAATGAACCCGAAGTGTATCTGCTCGTATTAACATATATTTTCAGTTTTGTTTTTTTTTCGAATTATTTCATTGTGTTTTTGGAGTGAACAAGAGAGTCGAGTTGTGTGTGTTTGTGCGTTTATTTGTGCGATTTGGTCATTTTTGTGAGTTAATTTTGGTTGTATTTCGTGGTGTGAATAGGAATCAATTAGATGTCAATGGAAAAAAGAAAGATATCATTTAATAAGAACATCATTTTTTCGAGTTTTCATAACCGCTTGCTAACATGTAGATGATGAGCTTGAAGATGAAGGGTTTCAATTTTAGCCAAGTATTCTCGATAAATTGGAGCATTTAGAGAACTTTCAAGAAATTCTAACAATGAGTTTGCAGCGCAAGTGTTTGGTGCCGATCAAGGTGCTCACATACAATTTTCATTATAAGCAATTTTTGCATTCACATAGTTTGGCACACAAATAGGAAAGCCACTATCGATTGGTTTTTCTGTTGGCAAAGTCACTTTCATTAGAACAGTTCATTCCACTTTTCCAACTTATTCAGAAATTAACTTTTTATGTAATCTTTTAAGCCAATCAACCAGATAAAGTTCATTTGCAATTCAAATAGAGTATTTACAGTCAACGCAAAACTCATTCAAAGAGCCCCTTGAGTATTTCAAGATTGATAAAACACTAAATTGTTATGAATCATTTTTCTCATTCAATTGCTTCTCCATTGAAATCGTTTCATTCATGATATCAATTAATACATCTTTTGCCTGACTTTTCCTGAAATTTTCTTGTTCTATGAAGCAACACTTGAAAATTTTCATTTTAAATCGTGAAAGAAAAGTTCGATAATTTGAAAAAGTTACTCACGCTGGAGGACTTGGTAATGGTACTTGATGAATCTTCCAAGTAGCAACTGACATTGAATTCTCATCGGCAGCATAACATCGCCAAAGGCATTGGATTAAGGTTGCTGCTGGACCTCGGCGTCTGATCATGTGCTTTTGTCTTTGTTGTTGTTGAACTTTTAAAGCAAAGCCAGAACCAAGAATTCCCTGGATAAATGATTAACAAGTTGAAAAGTTTCCATTTCAAAAGAGATTCAGAATAAACTTGAAATGCAATTTTGTTTTAAATTTCATAACAAAAAGCATTACTTCATCTCTAACTCTCAACCAGTTTAGCCCGAAACCTTTACAAAATAAAGTGTAAAATGTTATAAATGGCAAAACTAAGTACTTTCATTGCATTTATCAAACTATTAAAAAACAGAAAAGCAAAAAATTCTGATGAAAGTTATTCTATTTTTACACAAGTCTTTCAATAAAATAATCGAAAATTGCAATTCAATTGGGATTCACTTTTCATGATTTGCATAAGAAAGGTTATCTTCTTTACCGCAGGTAAGGCAAAAAATGAGATTCCAAGAAGTGCACAAAAAGATGCTATCAATTTACCAGGCCATGTTTTAGGTACAATATCACCATAACCTACTGTACAAAGTGTTATCTTGAGATGAAAAGAAAAAAATGTTAAGTGATTTTATGGAAGATTGGAAAATGATGAGAATTATTTTCGAAAATGATTCTCAATGAACGGAACTCACCACTCCCCACCAAAGGGCATCTGCAAAATTTTCAAAGGTTTCCGGATTTGAATCTTTTTCAACTAAATATACAAGGAAGGATGAAAATATGAGGCCAAGAAAGCCAATGTAAACAGTCGTGATGAGCTCCTGTTGGTGGACGGAAAAAACTAGTTAATTGGTGAAAATAGTAGAGTCAAGTTTATGGATAAATTGTAAATGGCCAAAACGAGTGGTCAACAGAAATCATTTTTCATTTCTTATCTTATCTTTTCTCTAGAGCAAGACAAGACTTGAATATCGACTTTTGTGACATGAATATGCATTGATGCAACCAATCGACAAAAGTTGAATCATAATCTCTTTACGGCTAATTAACTTATCGATCAAAATGAGCACTGTTAGACTCTTGGAAAGGTTAAATGTCTATCTCGAAAAAGAAGTTAAAAGTGTGCAAAAAGAAAAGTCGAATTTTGAGTTTTGAGAAGAGAAGAAAATATCGAAAACTTACCTGTCGATGTGCATAGACAACTGAACCTAATAGTTTCCATGTTCCACCTCTTCTGTCCATTCGAACCATTCGGAGTATTTGGAAGAATCGAAGGCCACGAAGGGCTGAAGTAGCAAAAACTTGACCTCCAGTTCCAACGATAAAGACCACAATGGATGCAATAATAACAACAATATCTGATTTGGAAGGAAATCGAAGAGAAAAAAGTTTTTAAAGGTAAACATAATAATCAAGAGAATCATGAAGTTGAGAGGAAAAACATGAGACTTTGGTTCTCATGCAGGTTGACGCTAAAAGGTGAAGCAGCAAATGAAACTAATGAATATTTGGGAATCGCACAGATTTGTTTGCTTTTGTGGTTTTGCATCGACTGATCCATAACCAATCAAATGGGTCAATCTAACAAATTTGCATTGAAATAGTGAAGGTTAATTGTGTGGAAAAAGATCGGTCGATAAAATGAAATAAAAAAATGTTCTTCTTTCGATTCAACGAATCCATATGGGTTTCGAATTTTGGCTTCAAAAATTGTCACTTGTTCTTTCATGGTGAAGATTGGCTTTGTCTAAAGCTATGAAATCGTGAATTTTTTTTCGCTTGCAAAAAACCTTTTTTTTGAGAAAATACTTTTTCTCCAAATTTTCATGCAAAAATTTCTTTTCTAACCATTTCCATTTCATGTTACGCTTGACGATAATATATTCAGTAAAGTGATTTTTAATGATAAAATTTCATCAGTTGTGAATCACTTGAGTGAATTGAATTATGATGTTGATAAGCAAACAAAAGTGGATGAGATAAATTTGAATGGGAATTAATGAGATTGAAATTTTTCCATGTAAACAACATGTAGAGTGTTGAATAAGAGTAAAATAAGACGATGAAATTGAACAAGTTTCAAAGAAATGGAACAATTGAAAGAAAGAAAATATGAAAAATTGGAAAAATTAAGGCAAAAAAAGGAGTGAAAAGAAATTCATGGAAAAGATTATATTTACAACTCCATTATTGTACTGAATTACATGCATTATGTACCATTGTTACAGCATAATCTTTACTTATTATCTTAAGTCGTAATAGATTTAAGGGAAAAAAAGAAAAAGCAAAATTCGAAAAAAAACTAATCCAGAAATGAGGCTTTCAGAATTTTTCCTGTTCCAAGAAAAGTTTATCGAATCTCGGAGCAGAAAAAGAATGCAAAAAAGTAAGTCTAAAGAGCAACAGGTTTTGATGCTGATAGACTTTGAATTTCGATTTCCATCCAAACTCATTCTTGGGAAAAGTGTGAAAACAGTTGAACTTACCAATAACACAAAAAGGACTTCGTAAAAAGCGCATCCTTCCAACCCAACCTTGATATCTCGATCGGCATCCGGCTGACCAAAGTCGTAAAAAAAATTCAACTGTAAACCAAACTATCATCAACAATTCCTGGAACAAATTGAGATGAAAAAGTTGGCGATCAAATATTCATTTTGTGGTTTAAAAATAATTCAATTGTTCATTAATTTTTCACTCTCAAGATGAGTTGGGTTAAGGTTGATAAACTGAGTTGCAAGACTCGACTTTGCCAGGTAAGCAGCAACTTGACAATGAATAATGAGGAATAGAAGTTGATTTCAATTGCAAGAAAAAGATTAAGTCAAGTTTCAGAACTTATCTCTTGAACCTCTTTTTTTATTATTCAATAATCTGAATGCTGTTGAAAGAAAATGTTGACGTTCTAAGCTTGTTCATAATCTTATTATCATGAAAAGTTGAACAAAGTAAATTAATTAATGAACAATTGAGACGAACAAATTACCATTTTTAAAAGTATTGCAGAGGCAGCATCTTCATACTCCTTAATTGTTGAAAAAACACTCAAAATAAGGCAAGTAAATACCATACAAAACCTGTTTGGAAGAGAAGAAAAAAATGCATCAATTATTGAGATAATTATTCTAATCAATTTTTCCAGGTAAAAGAGTCTTTTTTGTGTTCCAAATCATTTTACTCTCAATCATCATTATCATCAATTGTGATGAGCAGAGAACGGCAAAGAATATTCTTGATAAAAACATATTCTCTGAAAAATCACATTCAAATAAAATTATTGAATGAGATCAACTAAAAAACATATTCTTGCATTTTTTTCTCTCTCTTCTCTGTCTTTTCTTGCTTACTTTCTTTTCTCTCTTTCTTTTTCTTTCTTTCTTTTTTCCTCTCTTTTTTATCTTTCTTATCTCTCTTTTCTTGCTTCCTTTATCTCTCACTTTTTATCTCTCTATTTTCTTTCCCCTCTTTCTTTTCTCCCTCACTCGATTTTTCTTAATGAATTTTAATGATTAAATTGGCATATCTTTGGTATACTTTTAATAATTTTAGTATTAATTGAAACATTACCTAGCATAAAGAGGAATAATATGCCGCATATTCTGAATATGTTTTTACATGAAGTCTTGCCGTTCTCTGGTGATGAGCTTTTTGAAAATCGAGTTAACAAGATTAAAGGATTGGGCAAAAGGTACAAAGAATGTTGAAAGATGTTCAGATAATTCAGTTATTATATTAAACATGATGATAATAATTATCCCGTTGAATTGGAAAGGAAGGAGAAATGTTTCATTCCAATCGTAATTTGATGTAACCATTTGAGTAATTTCATCTTGATTAAATTACAAAATTGTGATAAACTAATAAACAAAAAGTTCAATTAACTTATTTGTCTATTGATGCTTTGCTTAGGAATGAGTTGAACTTTTTTTCATCCAATAAAAAATGAACTAATAAAATTACATTGAACAAGGAATTTTGATACAACTTTTTAATAGGTAAATAATTGAATGAAAAAAGGTAAGCTTTAATAATTGTGCTGCAATTGAGTCTAATGATAAGTGTTATTGCTGTTACTCAATAGTGCAATAAATATTTCATTTATCTTTGATAGGTAAACGGATTTTGCGAAAGAAGATCTCAAGAAAATTTATGAGTTTCGTTGACCAGGAACTTGAAAAGAGATGATTTGGGAAGGAATCATGAAATTTTGGGCCTCGACTGAAATTAATGATTTGTAAGAGAAACATCAAGGTTAAGTATGGATTGCGTCCAGGAAATGGTGCAAATTTCTATTGGAGTTCTAGAATTAAGAATGATGTGAAGATAGAGATGTTGAAGAGAGAGAAGAAGAAAGAAGAGAACTTAATTTGACTTTTCTCTTCTTCACCTTTTCGTAAGCTGGAAGTGAATTGCCAGAAAATTTACTGGGAGTGAGTTTAGTAGCATTTGATTGGGAGTTGGAGTTTGATAATGTGATATTGATAAGTAGCAAAGCGAATTTCCAAGAGTTAACACAGAGAACGCTAGCAGGACTAGGATTAGTATCGTTTCCAGAGAAAATGCTTTTATTTAACTATGCACGTGAGTTGAGGGAATCTTGGGAGGAAATTTTCAAATGATAAAATTTACTCCCAGTGGAGAGCAGAAATAGAAACGACATAATCAAAAAGGCATTGATAGAAAGTTTTTGTGGCTGGAAATTCCTGATAGTAGGTACTGAATCTGACTAGGAGTTATTATGGGCTCAAAAGTGATTAGACAGAATCGCGCGTTTCAAGCATAAACAAATTCTTTAAAAAGTCGAAATTTTGTTGCTACATTTACTAGATAACTGTATTGTGGTATAATATCATCAGCCTGAACTTGATGCGTAGATATCGGTTAAATGAAACTTATTACTTCCCTGGTATTTGTTTTGCAATTTTGTCTTTTTATCATCAATGTTTCGTCATTCAATCGGAATTAACAGTTGAACTTAAATAAATTGTTTAATTCCGTCACCATTCATAAACATGATTAAACATGAATAGATATTGCATTTTTTCTTTTTCTTCACTTGCATTTATCGAGATTCTCTATTCATTCTTGTCATGTTATTTTCAGCTGAAAACTTTGTGATTGAATTTTGTTCAATTATCACCAGTTAATTGGACAATTTGTGTAAACACTTTGGCTACAGGTGACTACAAGCTACTCATGGATGGATATAATTGCAATGAAATGAAAATATAATTAGCCTAATTAATTGAAACAACGGTGAGGCTTTAATCAAATTTCTGGGCTTAAAATTTTGTTACTCGAATTGTCATGTAAATTTTGAGATGAACTGATTGAGTAAAGAAGAAAAATCCAGATTCAATAGAGGCTCATGTTTTGATGCAAATTCAATTTGAAATGCATCTGGGAATGAATTGAATAAAATGATGGTAATTAACATGAGAATGAAGCGCAAAAATCTGTAGCCAAAAATACGATTGGAAAAGTTGATCATGAAAAAAACTGAGTTATAAAGTTAATTGGAATTCTATAATTCATGCTAATCTTTTGCTCAAATAAATGTCGATGAAAAAAGTTTTAGTTTACTTTGAGTGAAACAAGATACTGTAATGTGTCAAAAACAAAGAAATTAAAATGTGACAAAAGTATAGATTGGATTTTGGATGAAAATTGATTGACGGAAAAGACTCAATGTCATGACCAGAGGATTCAATTAACACAGAACCAGAATTTGAACAGGCCGAGTGTAAAAGTGAATGAAATGTTACCGGAAAGATGGAAAATTCTGTAGCATTAAGCAAATTGGTTTTTATGTGAGCACACATCAGTTAAGTGCGTCGCAAGAACACGAGACTTAGATCGCAAAACCTTGAAACGCAAAAGCAGAAAAGATCATAAAATTTTTGAAATTCAGTCTTCTATGAACCAGTGAATCTAGACATGGTTTTGCTCGATTTTATAAAAAAAAGATCAATTTAGAAAAAGGAAAATCGAATTTCAGTTTATCAGATTAGCCAAATCCTATCAAACATTTGAGCTTTTGACATTTTTTGAAAATGAAAACTTCCAATGTCATGAATTCGGCTTAAACTTTGACTTTCAATTTTCTGAACTCGTGCTACTTTTAATCTAATCGAGTCCATGTTTTGATTTTCAACACTATTCATGGACATTTGTCATTTTCCTTGACTTTCCTTCTGAATAAGTGTTGCTATTGTTGTGACAAAAGTGTTTTGAACAACGAAGTCTATTTTTCAGTCTTTCTGGGTTGAGTTTATTCAACTTGTTTCTAGACTTTTATAGCTGATCAAATGGTGTGACAATTGTCAGTTGGAATGAGATGGAAGAGAAATGGAATAATTTTTTTTCATTTAATCACTTTTTATTACGTCTGACTTATGATTCATTTGTTGGTTTTTAACCTTTACTTTGACCGTTTATAAATGTTTGTAAAACATGCAATTTACAGCCCAAACTTAATCACGTATGCAACAACAGCAAGTCAACCTAATCTAACCCTGATTTAACCAGATCAAACTAATCTTATTCAACATAATCTCACTCTAATCTAACCAGCCCTAGTCCAAGGCAAGATTATGCGCTTCAATTTGTTTGAGATTTATGAGTTTACTGCTTATTTTTGGCATATAATCAAGCCATTAGATCAGGAATTAGTCTTTAATCTAAAAAGATTGTAACTTGTCGAGCTTGGTAAAGGCCAGAGAGTAGAAGCGTTTTGCACAGTTGCCTTCCTTTCCAAATCAATATTTTCAAACATATAATCAATCAAGCTGTAAAATCAATTACCATCCAATGAATTATGCAATTATCTCATTTTGTAACAATCTATCGCTCATGTAATTGACTCAGAATTTAACAGAAAATCAATTCGTAAAAAACCATTAAAATCAATGTTAAATGACAGGTAAAACACGAAATGAATTGTTTAATCAATAAAACAAATCAAACTTTGCCAACATTTTCACGCAAACTTTTGATGCATAATTTAAAAAGAATTCAATTTTCCATTTTCACTCGAATTTCGAATTACAAAGAATTCGTTTTTTACTTCCGAGTGCAATTAAATTTATCGAAAAAGCTGATTCTTTGATGTTCGATGTTCGCTTGAGAAAAGTACAGAAACAAGAACTTTTAATCGACGCATCAAAGCAATTAGTCGATCATGAATTTCAGTGGAAAACTTTGCCCATTCCTTTGATGAGAATTGAACTGAATGCTTGCATTAGAAAGGTTTAATTGCGAATGAAATGTTTTTCCAAAACACTTTTTTTCCATTTTCAATGTTTCTTTTTTCTTCCAACGGAAAGGGTTAATTGATAAAAGCAAAGGAAATTTGCTCAAATAAATGGTGAAATGATTTATTCACTTAAAGTGTAATTGTACTTTGAGGATGAAAGTTACTGTTGACTGAGTAAACACCATTCAAAGGCTGTTAAATCGTAAGTCAACGAGTTAATAAAATTATAAGAAGATTGAAAGATGAAAAGGATGATTATGGTGATGAAAGTAACTCAATTGGAATTGGCCAAAATTGTTGTTTGTATGTTTGTAAAAATACTAATTTAAACTTGAGATTAACGTTTCAAGTTGATTAATCATTCTGACTGAACCAACAAGAGTAAGCATCAACAATTGTTGAACCTTGTTTTAACCAATAAATTTAAGTGAAAGAAGAGAAGAGGAAAAAAAGATGGAACAAAAATGGACCCAAAAGTTTCATCAATCAGATAATGTCAATGGTTAATGTTGGAATGAGAATGAGAATGGAAAAAAGTAGAGAGAAATAGAATGCTGAATCTAGATGAAATGAATCATGTGAGGTTATCGGAAAAGAGATAACATCGTTCAATAAGATTAATTGTGAAGGGAAGTTGATCAATAACAATATCAATATTTAGTTTGAGCCTATTTTTATGGACTTTACTTTTTACTGCTATGAACTTGAATGAACAATTTTTTGGTTGCCTCAAGTTTTGACCAGGTTTGTTTTTTGGGCACTTTTTTTGTTCAAGTTCGAGTGTTGGCAAATTTTTGAAAATGTTCAACTTACACTAGCATGTGATATGAAAGAGCACGTTTACCTCGTGGGCGTTCAAGAAAATTGTGGACAAGAAATTGGTATTTACGAATAATTTGATCACGAGTTCGATTACGGGCTACATTGAGACACAAGGGTCGACCTAAAAGGCTTACACGAGGTTGATTGAGTCGCTCATTAGTGGTGCTTGAGACAGGTTCACCTGGTGGCGCAAGTTTAGAGGCAACTGTTGTTGTGCTTGCCTTGCACTTTGAGGCTGATGATGAGGTTACAGTTGACGGTGTGATGGAGACCCCTTTAGGAGTGAACCGAGTCAATGGTTTGGGGTGAGGTGACTCACTGTCCATTGTTTGATTTTTCATTAATTTTCCACCTTCTTTTCGACCCACTTTTCCAATTAATTTATCACAAGTGACATTTTCATCATCATCGTCCTCTTCTTCTTCTTCTTCATCTTCACCACTGTCATCAGCATTACCAGTCAAGTTTGGCTCATTCAGTTTGGCATAATTGCAAGGTATCGGTTCACCGTGACTAGATCTAGGCAGTGATTCAGTTGAGGTAACCGAATGGTGCAACTTGTTCCGTAAGATTCCAGGCAAGGCATCGGCTTGAGGTTCGATAGTATCACAGCCACGTAAGGGAACCAGAAAGCCTTTACTTTCAGTTGAATCTCTTCCATCATCGTCTTCATCGAACTCTTCTTCATCTTCAGCATCATCATCAATCTCCTCTTCAAACTCTTGACTTCCATATTCACCTTGTTCAATATCATCAGAAGATAATCTCTGTCTTTGAGTCTTTTCTTCCACTGAGTAAAGATTATATCGAGATGTGGGGTAAACAATGGAACTGCATTTGTTTGATATTGAACTCTTTGATATTGCCGCTGCTGGTGTACAACTTGACGTTGGATTTGCTGCCGAATTTGAACATGAATATGGTGATGAAAGCGATAATAATGGTGGACGATTACTTCTAAGTTTATTTCGATTCCAAGTGTTTTCATTTGTAAAGGTAGAGCACAGTGATGAAGACGATGAAGATGATAAATCTGAAGTGGTTGACCAAAAATTGATTGAATGTTCACCCGATTGGTTATATTTAGGCGGTTCACTTGGATAGACTTTAAAAGTATTTTCATTCAGCGGAACATTGAAAGACTGTCCATTCTCTTTTAAGCAAGAGTTGACACTCGAACAGCTCGTGATTGAAGGGTCATACTCATAAGGTCTACCACTGGTTAAGGTAGTAAACAAATTATCGGCCATAAACCGTTGTAACTCTCCAAGTTGCACACAAAATGAACCGGTCGAGTAAACCTACAGACCATTAGAAGATGTTTTTGCCCAAAAGGAAGATCACATTTCAAAACTTAATCCCACATTGAAAACATTGAACCACAGAAAAGAATAAAGTTGAATCTTAAAAAATGGATTCATTCATAAAATGATCAAGCATTTCACATTTCAAGATTAGCCAATGGTCAAGTTAGTCGACAAAATAAATTGAAATAAAACTGAAGTTGAGACACTTGAACGGTCTTTCATGATAAAAATGTCGACAGTAAAAGGCAAAGAAAGTGAAAGATATAAAAGCAAATCTTAATCCATGTTAACTTGTTGGAGTCACAAAATGGAATGAGAAAACGATTTTTCTTTTTGTTCCAGAAAAAAAAGTTTCCATTCCTGGAGAGACTCACTATCAACCCTGCGCTGATGATGCTTTTCTTCATCTGGACTCAATTTAGTTTCCTATCATTTGCTTGTCATCATGAACCAACCCTTATAGGAAGTTCAATATGATACTCTTGTTTTGATACTCAAATGCAACTCTGTATCAATTGAGACGCTTTGCGATTGAAAATATCATTTTTAGCTTTTCTTTTAATCTCTACAATCTTTTGCATAATTGCTCATTAAAGAGCAAAACAATTTTACCTTTTCCAAACTTTTATTAAATCTTTTTTTTGCTGCTCTTCTCTTGATCAATAATGATGAATTTCGAGTGAATGAATAAAAACATTTTTCTCCAATTTTCATCTTCTTTTTCCCATGTTACTTTTAAACTGAATCATTTTAGTCTACTGAATGTATTCAACTTGATATTGCTATAAATAGTTAGACAAGAGAAGAAGAGATAAAAATGAATTTCCATTTTCATTGAACAATGCAAATTGATTAACATTAATATGAGTTTGAAGGTTCAATTTTGCTCCATTATCTTGACTTATAGTCATGAATCTCTTGGTGATTGCAAGATGAAGAATGAAAAATCTGAACAAATACCACACCCATGAATGTCTGTTTCACTGAAAATTTCAATTCCATTTGAGAATGAATTTTCCAATGTTGATAAAATTCTAGATAAAATCGAAAAATCCTTTTTGATCAACTTTGCAATTAACCATTTTTCTCGAGCAATATTCATGATCATGATTTAGTCGAACAAGCTTCATGGGATCAACTTCAAATTTTTTCGGCAATTACTTTAGTCGACAGTTTGCAAAAGGAAATAATTGTTACCGTGAAAAGACATCATGTTGATCAACAGTGAAACTGAACAATTTAAACATTCAACATTAATCAGAATAAAGTTCTCGGGTCCACCTCTGATAAGCTCTTTTCCCATTTTGTTTGCTCTCGACTTTGGACACTTTTATTTTCTACATTTTTTCCTTTCAACGTTGAAATGCAACTCAGAATGACTGAAAATTGAGAGTTTTATTTATTCTTCTATTTACCTTTTCTCTTCTTTCAAGATGAATTAGTTTTTATCATTGATGGTCAACCTTTTCATCTCTTTCAAGCATTTCACTGCTCAGTCCGTTTATTCATTGATCAACTTTTTCATCATAAAAAGTCTTTTCAAGTTTCCTTTTATGCTCATTTTTTGCCAATGGAAATGCAGCCAAATTTAAACATTTACAACTTACAGCAAATTGTTTGTAAAAAGTTGAACAAAAGATTTGGAAAAGTGATAAACTTTTGAAATGGAGTTTTAAATTACAGTTTTAATGATTATTATGATTGGCAAAATGAACTTGAAGAGAAACTTTCAGAACAGAATAAAAAATCATTTCCATCTTTATCTTGCACATCATTCCAATGCTGGGAGTGAATCAATCCCAGACTTGAGTTGGGAGAAGATTAATGTTTGGAAAAAAGTAAATCTAACAAATTCCATTATCGCTCAATTTGTCTCAAGTTATCGTCAAATTGACGGCAAATATATTAATTTGCAAATCAAAAGTGAAAAGTTGGAAAACCATTCGAACTCGAAAAGAGTAAAATCTCGATTCCGAGACAAGTCTGGTTTCCAGCCTGAATTAGTAAATATTTCAACCTTTTATGTGTTCATTTTATAGATTGTTTCCATCAAATGATTCAGGATAGATTAATATATTATCATGTGGTGAGAATTTACTTTTTTTATTCTCCGCAACTCATTCTTCTTTTTCTCTTTCTTTTTCTCTACCATGAGAGAATACAAATTGATTGGTGGTTTGATAAGTTGAAAATGAATAAGTAAATAGTAAACATTTACTTGGATTGATTTTGATGTTCAAATGAAAGGTTGACCAGAACTGTTCGTCAATAATAGATAACATTACAATATTGGAAAGATTGATTCTTCTTTGCATTCAAATCAATTCATTTATTTTCAGTTTATTGATCAAATTTGATTGATAAGGCGTTCATTTACCAATGTATCATGACATTTGATCAAATTTTCTCTTCGATATTTACTTCATTCAATTGAATTAAGGTATTGACTTTTGGCACTTTTCGCAATTCTTATAGCGACCCTGAAACGTAATAATGTAGATACGATAATTGAATTTGTTAAACGGATTGTGCTGTGAATTCATTTTAAAACCATTTTACTTTTCATTTTCTTTGCTCATTTGAACGATGAAATTTTTTTCTCCTTTTTTACCTTCACTTGAAGATGCGTCATTAAGTGTTGTTAAACAGTTTAGTTTCAATCTGCTGAAAGGTAGAGTAAAGTGACTTAAACCAAAAGGTAAACATTTAAAGTTAATTTGAAAGTGACAAAATTTGATCAACATGAAAGTCAAATAAATGGTGAGACAATGACAAGATTCAATTTGAAACAGCGACACAGAAGTAGACATTTTTATGACTTTCAAGCTTCTTTTCATTTTGTCCTCGAGCTATTGATAGGGTTAAACTGTATGAAACTTGAAATTGCATTTTAATAAGAGAAAGTCATTAAAGTATCGGTTAGAGATGAAGGGAGAAACTTGCCACTTTCAGTTCCTGAAATTTCATGCAAAGAACGATTTGCAAATCTTAAAATTGCAATTAAATGAAAAAAGTCATGAACTTCACCAGAATTTTCTCGCGCTATGTTTATCGAATGGCAATGAAAACAAATTCAATTAAATATTATTATAGAATACTGAATTTTCTTCTATTTTGACTTTCACAAAAACTTGAATTTCGATGGAATACCCTCTGAAAACCAAGAATTGTAATTATAACGTTGTTGGGCGTAATTAGCGTAATTCAGGGATATTTTCTATTGCATTTTACATTATGATTGCAGTTTTGAAAGTTGATTGCCTTTACTAATGGGAATTTGATTCACGAAGAGCTGACTTTTTGAAATGAATCTGATTAAAATTGATATTAAATTATTAAACGCGAAATCAGTATGGATCGAAAAACGCAGAAGATAATTAATCAATTGAAACGTGGGTTAAATTTAAAATGAGTTCATTATCGAGTTGACCTGCAAATACCATTTTTCAAAGTTGCTATTTTTGAATCAATAAATATTTCGTTTTGATCGCATGTAAGTCGAAAGAGAATTGTGTTTACTCATGACTTGAGAGCAAAAAGAGAAGCAAAAAGTTGTTCAATAAACGCATTTCATGTTCAAGTAACAACTTTTGTCTTCACTCGAAACAACCATTTTCCTCTTCAACTCTGATTTTGTCTTTTGTAAAACATTATTATTCCTTGTTCAAACTCTGTCCTCTTCGGACAGATGAACAACAAAAAAGATCAGCATTTTCCTCTTTTCACCACTTAATGTGACAAATGAATACAATACATTTTTATCCCTTGAATTGTCCATTGAAAGGCAAAAAGAAGCTAAATAAAAAATGACTTTCCTTCAGAGTCAACTTTCGCTTCCAACAAAACCAGACTGGCGATTCTACTACAGAGAATGAATTCCCTGGAAAACTCGCAATAAAACTAAAGTTGAATAATGCTTCAAAAAGTAAAACTCAAAATTCGAAACGAAATTTTAACCAAATCACAGTTTTCAAATGAATACCTTCATTCTCTAACAATCAAGAATAGACAAGTTATTCTCAACTGTTATAACTTGATTCAATAATGTGCAAATTGGTGCAAACAATTTGATTCAAAGTTTCAAATGTTGCTCAGAAAATGCGATTCAAAAGAAATTTATAAACTCGTCAGTTTCAACATTGAATTTCTACATTAACATTAATGTTTAACTTAACCAAAATGCTTTTCAAAGTTTGCTAAATGCATTAATCAATGACTTCCAACAGAGTTGAACAACGAGAAAAAAAGGAAAAAATGAGTTTCTTCATTCGTAAACATTTCAAAGACTAAGCCTCGGTTCATGTAGACTTGGAAACCTGTTAAAGTTGAATAACCTTGTTCAAATGTAATCCAATGTGACCAAATTGATTACATCTAAGACGATTAAGTAAACTGTATTATTATTTAATCAATTTGATCCAATAAACTGCTACAAAGTCAGTTTCAATGTGCAATGAGATTCATCTCATTTGCAATTCAATGTCGCTTACAAAGTAAAGCTCAATGAGAAATTAAAGCAAATTAAAATTGTCAAAAGAAACCAAAAAAGAAACTAAAAATCTTTTCAAGCAAAAAGCACGAAAAGTTGAAAGTTTATCCAAAGTTGCTAATGAGATTGAAAATCAATTGCAAGTAAAATATTTTCATTTCATTCCCTTATAACAAGGTGATTAACGTAAATAACAACAGTTCATGTCAACCTGGAAACTTTTGAAGCATTAAACAAGCAACATTCATTGAGGCAAACCTGGCCAGTAGAAGGTCAAACGAGTTGAAATTGCCATTCAAAACATGTAATTATTGGTGAAAGTGAAACAAAAAAAGTTTTAATGCAAAGATGAAAGTGACAAAACAAAACATAAACTTGAATAATTAAAAGTCGACTCTCGGGGAATGAAGCAAAATCACGGTTGAATAAAATGTTGAAAATTGCATGCAAATGATTTTCGCTCTTATTCTTTTATCGTGCGATAAACAATCAAAATATCGATCTCGGCGGTTGTTACAATGATGAAACTCGTGATTTGAATGAATATTAAAATTGGAATCAATTTATGGACAATTAATTTTCTCTTGTTCAACATTTCATGGACAAACATTTTATCAACATTCAGCTTGTTTGCTGACCCACTTCATGTTTACTGATTATTCCGCTAATGAACTTTTGCTCTTGGTGATTATCTGCTGCTGCTGTTGAATCTTTCAACTTTGCAATATCGGAAAAGGAAAAGAGACAAAAACAAAGCAAAACCTCCAACTTTCCATATTTCATATTCTACCCTGGCTTCCAATTATTATCGACTTTTGTCTTCCAGCTACTTAA